AGTGGGGGGGGGGGTCCATTTAGTATTTTAGTTTTTTTGCAGCCCGTTTAGCAAATCTTGTTGTTTTTGGTTTGTTTTACTTACAACTGTAAAATGAAATGGATTAAATATTTTTTTCAATCTTTTGTTAAAAGTTATAAACAAACAAACAAACAAACAAAAATGCGAAAATGATGACTAACGAAGTTCAACCTATAGGCCAAGAACAGATCTATAGACTTTCTTTAAAATCTGGCCTATCTAAGGGTTGTCAAGAATCTAGAGATTGCATTTTTGCATTGTTATTACCTTTTGGCCTTTAAGTCTATTGTTTGGCTGGGGCCAACTAGAGCGGAATTCACCTCTGAATATGTTTGACTGGGCCGAAATAAAGAACCAGCTATTATAGCAAAAGAGGTAAGAATAAATATGTAGATCTAATATAAAACAGATAAAAAATTAAAAAAATGTTCGTCCCATTTAGTGGATGTTTTTTTTCAAAATCTAGTAGTTTCTGAAAAATCTGGATGGCAACACTGGACACTGGACACACATGAGAAAGAAGAATCAAACTTACTCTGTTCACCTCTCTAGCCTCAGCAGCTCAAAGTCTGCTTCGACTATCAAGGCATCCCGGAAATAGAAGTTCATAAAAGAGTGACAAACATACAAAAGAAGTAAAGGAAAAATGATTATAGTAAATTTAAGGATGATGCAAGAAAAAGCAGCAGTTCCCCCATGTTGTTCCGGCACAGTGTGAGCATGGCATTGATAAATCAGTCCTTTTACAAACTGTGTATAAGAACATGTTAATATCCCCCCCCCCCCTTTTGGGAATGGTTTTAAGACATGACAACATTTTGTTTCACTTTCTGAAATAGGGCATAAGACTAATAACAGAGTCTTAAAATGTGGGTGTTTAAAAAGATAATAAAAAATAGAAGGCTATCATCATCATCATCATCATCATCATCATCATCAGCATCATCATCATCAGCATCATCATCATCATCATCATCTTCATCATCATCATCAATGCCTTTCACCCCTGGCAGGGTATAGGCCACATACAAGCTCCTTCCATTTATCTCTGTCCTGAGCCATCCTTCCAAGCTCGTTCCAAGTGAGCTTTATCTCTCTCACGTCCTTTTCCACGCATCTCTTCCATGTTTCCCGTGGCATACCCTTGCCTCGTGCTCCCTGTGGGTTCCATTGCAGTGACTGTCTTGTGATGTTTCCGCTGGACTTTCTTAAGGTGTGTCCCATCCATGGCCACTTTCTTAGTCCTAATTTCTACTTCTATAAATCCTGTTGTCCTGTCCTTTCCCACAGCTCTTCGTTTCTTATTCTATTATACCAGGCTATAATAGAGAGTCTTTTTTTGTGCAGGTGTTCTTAAACACCCCCCCCCCCCCAAAAAAATAATTTAAAAAAATAGATAAATAAAATA